TGTCTGCATGCACCGACCAAAAAGGACGTCAGTGACTGTATTCCCTCTCGAATGCTAAAATGTTTATTTCTTTGACGAAAGTCTATAAATATAGCATTACAAATAAGTGATTTCTAATACAATAGTTATTCATCGTATCCATACTGTACTGCTGATGTTAGATGAGTTAAACGCATACTGCAGGAGCAAAAATCAGCATACACACAGCTAAATGTAAATATGCGCACGTATACTGATCATATCACTATAGCAACCGATGGCTGCTACAACAGTTGGTTATAAAAAACTAAAATTAAAAGACGGCGATTGACTTATAAAGCAATTAGTAGAGCATGCAGCGTACACTAAACGGAAAATTATTATACTTAGGTTAGATTTAATGCATTCCAAAATTGCAGGCCCTCAGGAAATTTTTTCAAGCATTAAATCTAACTTTCGTACAATAATTTTCCTATAGTGTACTATGCGGAGCTCTACTAATTGCTTAATATTATGGACAAGGCATAAAGAACAAGGCCAGATTTGTTTGTTTATTTGTTGGTTTGTTATATAGTTGTTTATCTGTAATTTACTTGTGTTGTTGTTTGCTTTGTTATGTATGCTGTTTTTTTTTGTTTTGTTATTTTTAGTTTGTTTTGTTTTCTTCTTGTTGAAAGTTCACTTATACAAGATGTAAATTAACAAGAAGATAATTTCAAATAATTGTTTCATTACTTACAAAAAAAAAAAAATTCTTTAAAGTTTTCTTTAAAACCTACCTGTTTTGCTGGACTCTGCAAGTTAATCAAAGCGCATGTCATCTCAGGCAGAGCAATGGGTATCTTCTGAAGACGCTCATGAAAAATGTTTAACAGCGTCCTAGCCTGGTCACGGTATGACTCATGGTCTAAGTAATCTGCAAGTCGGAGCAGATTAAGTGCCGACACTGAGTTTGGACTAGGTTCTGCCCCATCTTGATCTGTAGTGCAATTTGTGGAAAGAAAATGGAATCGATATGATATATGCATTATTTAATATACTTGATTTTGTTATATTTTTTTAACCTTTTTAAATATCCATACATTGTTTCTCTACAGAAAAGTTTGTATTCATCAAGGTGCAATGCTGTAATAACTCAAATGTCAAGTGCTATGACGCATATACAGTTTTCTGTGATTTAAGTATGGCGTTTATTCAATAGACACACTTATTCCAGAACAGCACACACAAATTACTTGAGTGATAAAATTAGTACTGTCTTGCAAATAATACCTAACTGACTTGATTCAATGTTAGAATTAGTTATGCTATGAGTTGGTTGTAAGAGTCCTGATGACACAAAACATCAAAGCATGTTGAGTGTGTACTCTTGTTAGGGGTCGTTCACAATCATCAGCATTTTCACAAGTGTACAAACTGAGTACTCTTTTTCGGTACCCCACCCTCCCCTCTGAAAATGTACAAAAAATGTTGATTTTGCAAACCATTCTCCAATTTTTTGTGAAGTCAACTAAAGCAATGTACTTGGTTGCTTAAAAATAAATATTATATCCATGGTAAGATTGTATAGTTTACCATTATTTTACATATTCCTTGTTATTTTGAATTAACATTTTTATGCATATGTAAAAGTGTACAATTTTGTCTACCCCTCCACCCTAGCGTACTGTGTGTACAGTTGTAAAAATGTTGATAATGTTGAATGATCGCTTAAAGTGGTACAACTATCAATGAAAATTGAGTATATCACAATTAGACTCTGATACACATATTCGATGCAGCATTTATTTGATAGTACCGCATAAATAAGAGAGGTGCATATTTGTTTATTTACGATGATAAAATGTGTTGCAAAACATGAGGACAACAGGCAAATGTGGAGTCGCTGAACTGTAAAGAATGAAACAACCATCAATCATCAACAACATTTAACTGAGGCTAAGATTATGTGATCATGTGATTGGACATGTGATTAATATGTGATCAGTGTTGGAGATGGATGACTTCAACTTTGAAAGATACAACAGGAAGTAGTGATAAGATTAGCACTTAAGTCATCTAAGCCCTGGTTTACGGATGAGATACGCACTGCACGGAAAATCCGCCGTCAACTTGAAAGGAAATGGATGAAATCAAGGGCTCATCTTGACAGGCAAAAATACTGCAATCAAAGATGTTTGGTTACTAATCTTATTGAACAGGCAAAGA